AACAACCAACCAACCACAACAGGTCGCTTTGATTTTGGTGTGTTTTTTTTTTTTTTTATTTTAATTTTTTTTTTTTTTTTTTTTTTTTCCCCCACACCTGAACATTTAAATTTCCCAGAAAGCTGTTTCTGGCGTGGCAGGAGCTGCCCGTTGAGTCACTTGCTTTTGTTTTCCCCTTGCTCTCAAACACCTCCTGCAGAGCACAAGTTCTCCATCCCTTTTTGCAGGTGAAAACAAGAGACGGCGTCAAGTCTCTGATCCAGCTGTTTTCTCTTTGGGTGAAAAACACATCATTCCTGTGCTCTTACAGAAACAATTATGCCACTGCTTTCCCTGTTTCCCCAGAGAGCAGCTTCCAGAATCCCACCAAGGCAGAAAATATCTCTGGATTTCAGGTATTCCCCTTTCCAAAGGTGGCTTTGTTAAGTCAGGCTGCTGAAACCAGCTGGCTGATGTCAGGAGCTGCTCTCAGCCCTGCTGATTTTCCAGCCACTCCCTGCCTGCCTGCTCCAGCCTGACTTCACTTCCCAGTGAAACAGCATATTTCAGGTATAAAGCAGCCAGTCCCAGCTCTTTGTCTCTGCAAATTTCTCCTCTTCGGCCTATCAATTCCATCTCCTGCGGGCAAGCAACCCGTGCTCTGGGATGTGGCTGACGAGGGCGAGAGGCAAAGCCACTCTTGGAGGCCTAAGGTGTCTCCTGCAAAGATCCACAGCTCTTGGTTTCACACCGAGCTGGGGTTGACACCATTCAATTCACAATTCACTAACAATTACACACTGACACCCAGGGCTTCCTGCCATTCAACCCACTGACAATTTACACGCTAATTCATTGGGCTCTCGAACAAGGGGATGAAAAAAAATAATCAATATATGTGCCAAATATAAAATATTTAGAGCCTTGGATGATAGGATTCTCATTTCTCTGCTGCTGAAGCAGTGATTTATTTCGTGGCTGCGTTGCCAAGTCACCACGGTCGATGAGAGCCCCCTCTTTCTGGGCCCCCAAAACACCAAAGAAGCAATTCCCAATAAACACTCTGCCACGTGCTTTGGCATTAAGACCCTTCGGGGTGTCTCTCTGCTCCAACTGAGCCCAGCCAAGTCCCCAGGAAGAAAGATGGAACCAAAACATAAAAGCTCAAGCCACTCACCCGCGTGCGATGGCAGCAGACAGCAGCAAATCTCTGTTTCTCCCCACTGATACCGGCTCATTCAATAAAAAGCTGTCACCCTCCTCCTCCTCGTGGTGTCTCTTGTCAGTGTGGCATTCTGAGAGCAGCCAAGTTGGGGTCCAACGTGCCTTTAGGAGGAAGGAGAGTTTTAGGGCACCGCCGAAATCCCAAAGCCAAGTCTGTCCGAGTTGTAAGAGTTAAAACCCCCTCCAGGAGAGTCCCAGAGGAGACAGGGATGAGCTGGAAGAGCAGCAAACACACACTGTCTCAACAGGCAGGAGACTTCCTCATCAGCTCCCGGCCCTGGGAAGGCCCATCCAAGGGAAAGAAGGAAAACCAGAGCTGCTTACATGGGGAGGGAAGGCGGGCTGCCTGCAGGGGAAAAAATATTCCGGTGGAGGCAGTTCCTAGGAATTCTAGCCCCGCCAAGGAGCACCATCCATCCCTGCTCCAAAGGCTTTCCCTCCCTGCAGCGTGTCCCAAGGATTCTGTTTCACCTCGTGACTCCCAAATTCAAATTTCGCCCTCCCCCCCCCAGGATTCCTGCCAGAACAACCCCCGAAACCACCCCAGCCCTCCCCACTCCAGCTACAACCTTCAATCCGGTCGGACGACTTTAGCAGCCAGACAAAAAGATTGGGAGAGAGATAAAAGCCCCACGGGGGTGTCCTGTTACTTTGCATTCCAAAGAGTAAATAAAAGGCTGATTCAGTGGGAGGAGAGGAGAAACGTCACCCAGAAGCCCTGTGGTTTTCCAGCTGAACCAGCAAGCCCCCGGAGAGAGCAAAGGTGAGCCCTGGGTACTGCTCCACTGACCATGGGGAAGAGTTGTCTTGGGGTGATGATGTGTTTTAGAGTCGTTTAGATGCAGTGCTGGGGGATATGGGGTAGGGGAGGACTTGGTAGAGTAGGGTAGATGGTTGGACTCCATGATCCCAAGGGTCTTTTCCAACCTGAATGATTCTAATTACTGACTTTGGAGAATGGGACCTGTAAAAAAAGCGCCGTGAGTTGCCCTCAACCAGCCACAGGCTCCAAGGCAGAGCCCAGAAGGCTGCTCAAGGATCACCGTGTCGTTGAGGTGGGACATTATCCTTGGATCTCAAATGCTTCTTCTCTTAAGAGCTCTGGAGTGAGAGTCCTGCTTCCCAGACGTGACTTTGGCAGGGTTTCACAAGTAGCTTTGTCCTCCTGAGATGATGAAAGCTGGCCAGGACAAAGGGCAGGAGTGACCAGCTCCATCCCCTAGAAGGTACGGGCATGAGGAGTGAGCAAAGGATGAGTGTGCAACCAGCTGGCAAGGAAAAAAGTCCACCCTCAGCCCTCCAACACTGCCCAGGCTCTGAGACACCCTCTTAAAATTCAGGGAGATTGGTTTTTTGGGGCTTCTTTTGCTAATGACCTGCCAGTCACGGGACTCCAGAGGGAATCCAAAGCATTAGGAAGCACCCCCTGGGATGTGACCTTGTTCCCCCCGGGGACTAGACTATTCTCTGGGGCTTCTTCTGGAGCTCCTTGGTGGCTCCTGAAAGCAGAGAACCTCTTTTGGGGAGCTCTGAATCAGCAGCTGGCAGGGTTTGCCAGCCAAACTGGAGTGGCCAGGCCTGACGGCCGGGTTTCTGGCACTGGAGTATTTTGAAACCCGGGCACACCCAAAGATTCAGAGTCAATTAAGGTCCTTGTTAACGAACAAGCTGCGAACGCGTCAGCTGAAGGCCGTGACTGAGCTGGGGAGATGCAGGCGACGCGGTGGAATCACCCATTTTTTCTCTGTTTTATTACAAATGGGCACAACTGCCCCACGCTCACCCAGATTTCCCACCTGATTTTCCACAAAAAAATAGAATTTCAGGCTTTGTGATGGTGTTACCTCAGCTGTTTACAACCAAAACAAAAAAGAAGCAGCTTTGACTTTTCACTTATTCCACTTATCTCCCTCGCTTTGTCGGTGCAGAGGTCACAAGGGTGTGGGTATGGGGTTTTTTTTGGTTTTTTGCTGGTTTATGGTCCAGCTCCCACTGTCTTTCAGCCTGATGTTCTCCCAGCCATCCCTCTGGTTGGGGTACGGTGAGACCACACGTGCCGTGGAGGTGAAGAAGGAAAGCTGGCTGTCAACTCTCTGGTGGAGTTCAGTCTGTCAAAGGTGAGAAGCCATACCCACCCTTCCCAAGGTGATGCTAGTCCTCTCCGGGGTGAGGTGGCAGGCTGGGTGAAACACCCTGCTGGCCACCTCAGTCCTTTCTCCACCCCAAAAGTAGGATGGCTCCACGTAATGTTTGTCTGGAAACTCCCCTCCTCTCAAGACAATCCATCGCAGCATTACATTGTCCTTACTTTCTGTCAGCTTTCATCACATCCAACCCAGATCTCCCTCAATGACGGTTGGACAAGATGATCTTTAAGGTCCCTTCCAACCTAGAAGATTCTGTGATTCTGTGATTCAATGTATGAAAAATGTTAAGTTCTAACTTACTTTGCCATGACTGGTGAGATGATGCATCAGCCGTGGATGCTGGGAGGGCTGGAGCCCCTCTGCTGGGAGGACAGGATGAGAGAGTTGGGGGGGTTCAGCCTGGAGAAGAGAAGGCTCCACGGAGACCTTCTAGCCCCTTCCAGTCCCTCAAGGGGCTCCAGGAAAACTGGGGAGGGACTCTTGGTCAGGGAGGGGAGCCACAGGATGGGTTTGACCCTGAAAGAGGGGAGATGAAGATGAGATGTGGGGAAGAACTTCTTTGGTGTGAGGGTGGTGAGACTCTGGAATAGAAGCTGTGGCTGCCCCATCCCTGGAGGGGTTGAAGGGCAGGTTGGAGGGGGCTTGGAGCAACCTGGGCTGGTGGGAGGTGTCCCTGCCCAGGGCAGGGGGTTGGAACTTGATGATCTTGAAGGTCCCTTCCAACCCAAACCATTGTGTGACTCTATGGCTCTTCTACCAACTCTCTGAAGCTCAGACATTTGTTGCTGGCTCACAAGTACTTGTGAGGACACAGCTGAGCCCTCAGATTCCTTCCACCAGATGTCAGGGAGATGCTGGGAAACTTGCAACCCCTCTCAACAACTGAGGGAAGAGAACTTCTCTTGAAGAACCATTGAGCTGGGAACAGTGGTTCCCAGCCAATTAGTTGTTGCTCTCTGGGATGCTTGACTTACATCATAAAAAAAAAGCAGAAAGAACATAAGCAGAGATTAAATCCAGCCCAAATGCACACTCTTGCTCCTTCTTGCTGATATTGTTAAAACCCAGGCATGTGGACACAGTCAATGAAAGATTTCTGGCTACTGGGAGGAGCTTCTGGGTTTGCTGACTCTGGATGGATGACACTTTGACTCACCTCCACAACACAAGTTGAGAAACAAAAATGTAATAAATCCAATCAATCAGCCACAAACCCAACTTTCTAACTGAAAGGAGTCACCCCTCTGACAAAATAAAAATATAAATCCAATCAATCAGCCAGAAACCCAGCTTTCTAACTGAAAGGAGTCACCCCTCTGACTGGTGGCTCTCTAAATACACAGACCAAGCTTTCATGTTGCCCTTCAAAGCCATAAGGTGCTATTTTTTGTGACAAGGAAGCACTTTGGGCTTTCGGAGGAACCCTCAGCTTTGCACATTAACACCTTCCCACCTCTCCAACTCAGGATTTTTGGTAAGCTACCAGCTTCCTACAGAGAAGACACTGTGACAATAAACCTCCTTCTCTGCTTTTCACCAGCTTTAAGAGCCACCACAGGGGCCAACCACGGTCAGAGGGGCACTTCCAGTGCAGGAACACCATTAAAAGCAAACCTTGATACAACAGCTTACCAAGTTATTGCTTATTTAAGCTATTTGGGCCATTCCAGCTACAAAAGAGGATTTATTTCCTTACAGGAGCGAAGCGGCGCAAAGGGAGATCAGTAATTCATGAAGCTGCAGTGACTCAGGAGCTTCCAACTGCCCCAGACCCATCATTTCACTGTGCAACTGGGGGCACAGGGACAATTGGCACCGAGGGAAACACACTTAAGCAGCTGGAAAGGTCTCAGAGTAAATACTCTGAGCAATCAAGCATGTTTTTCTATGTAGAGAAGCGTGTTGGAGGACGTACGCCTCGTAAATACCCAGCAGCCATTGTTTCCCCAAGCACAATCTGAAAAATTTCCCCCCCCCCGTTGCCAAAAATTCATTCAGGGTGACACATCAACGCAGTAGATGTCACTCACCGAGTTCCAAATGACACCAGCATCTTTGCAGGTCCTTGTTAACCCTTCAGGGAGCAGCAGGACAACAGGTAAACCAGCGTGACCTTCATCAGGTTTGCTCTTCGTTCTTCTGGACCGTGACGGCCTTGCTCTGGGTCAGAACATCCACTTCTTGATGTTCCCTCCTGAATTTGGTTGGCACCTTCTGCTCCCTCTTTAAGTGTCGTTGCGAAACCGCCCCATCCTGGAAGCTCTTACGGACCAGGATGTTTCTGCTTCAGGGATCTTGCTTCTGGCAGGTGAGTTATTTTCACTCCAGGTCTTGCAACCTGGAAGACAGAGAAAAGATAACATTAGAATCACAGAATCACAGGATGATATAGGGTTGGAGGACAGTGAGAAAAGATAACATGAGAATCACAGAATCACAGGATGATATGGGGCTGGAAGGGACCTCTGGAGATCATCCAGTCCAACCCCCTGCCAGAGGAGGTCCACCCAGAGCAGGTCCCACAGGAACGTGTCCAGGTGGGGTTTGAATGTCTCCAGAGAAGGAGACTCCACCACCTCCCTGGGCAGCCTCTGCCAGGGCTCTGCCACCCTCACAGCAAAGAAGTTCCTCCTCATGTTTAGGTGGAACTTCTTATGTTCAAGTTTGTGCCCATTTCCTCTTGTCCTGTCCCTGGGCACCACTGAGAAAAGCCTGGCCCCATCCTCCTGACACCCACCTTTTAAGTATTTATAAGCATTGATCAGGTTCCCCCTCAATATTCTTTTCTCCAAAGACCCAAGTTCCTCAACCTTTCCTCAAAGAGAGATGCTCCAGGCCCCTTATCATCTTGGTAGCCCTCTGCTGTCCCCTCTCCAGCAGTTCCCTGTCCTTCTGGAACTGGGGAGCCCAGAACTGGTCCCAGTGCTCCAGCTGGGGCCTCCCCAGGGCAGAGCAGAGGGGCAGGATGACCTCCCTTGACCTCGACCCTTGAAGATAAGGACCTAAGGCTTAACAAATTAACTTCTAGACACCCGGAAACAAATGGGTTCTTAAAATATTTACTTCTGATTTACGCAGGATGCCACATACAAGATTAATCAGCGCTCAAATGGTTAACTCACATGGGTCACTTTACATAAAACGCGTCATCCTTAAATGAAATCATTAAAAGCCCAAATTTGAGCTACTCATCCAGAAGTCTTTATATAGTCCACAGAAAGGAATGGCTCTATCCAGAGAGTGACTCATCCTTGGGGGAACCACCTGAGGGAGGTCAGATGAATCGCCCTCCGGAGGGACCAGTGGCTGCAAACGCATCCTGGGGTGAATAATTCAGGTTTCTCTTCCTAGAAATTAAGAAAGACGAATCCAGCCATAATTTCCCTTTCGCAGACTATACGGTTAATTTACTCCTTCAATTAAATCTCAGATTGGGATAAATTGGTTGCAACTATATTAAACCACATTTCTCTCCGAGCCAGTTTCCACCCAGGACACAGCGGCGCATCCTCCTTTCCTCACAGCTCTCCCTGGGCTGCAAGAAGTTGCACTGCTTTTAAGTTTAAGGGGCAAACGTTTTACATTTCAGCCTGTGCTGAAATTTAAATTTAAAATTACTGTGCTCAGTAATGGGCCAGGAGAACCCCAAGGTCAAGCACCACGTACCAAACTCACGTCAGGCAGGACCGGGCACGGGAGGGGAGTTGATTGTGATGTTCTGGTGTCTTTGGTGCAGCTTTGCCAGGAGAAAAACAAGCAGTGAGGTCTCTGTATTTACCTAAAAACATCAACTGTTGGGAAACAAAGAGATCAACTGCTAAAAATAAGCAGGTTGACGTCCAATTAACTACTGCTTTTGAAAAATCATTCTTATAAAAAAGAAAAGACTTGGAAGTAACCCCAAAGGGGAGTTCATTGGGTTATGAGATCATCCTACCGAGGTATATAAATAGAGATTTTTTCCCCCATGATTTAAATAACACAGAGCAGTTGTTACAATAAAGGTTAGACAGGCTTTAAAGGGCCTGTGGCAGTTTGTGTAACGTGCTCAGATCTTGTAAGCAACAATTACACGACATAAATAAACACAAGTTTCTCCCTCTCGCTGGAAATAAGCATCTATCCCAGTTTTTAATAAATAACCAAGGCTAAATAATAAATATTGGTTGCTAGAATATTAAACCACGTGTCTCTTTGAGCCAGTTTCCACCCAAAGACACAGCTCCTTTCCCCACAGCTCTCCCTCCTCTGCAACAAGTCACAATAAATTAATAAATAACCAAGGGGAACTCCAGTGGGTATCTCACTGTGACAAGAACAGGTTGTACTTCCATTTTTTAATTAAAAAAAAGGTAATGGCAAAGACGCAGCAGCCTGAAAGCAGGTCTGAGGCAGGACAAAGGGATGGAAAATGGGTATAATGTCAATAATACTTTCTCCAGGCCCATACATACTCACCCAGAACGGCCCTCAGTTGCCAGGGTGAGAGGGCACAGGAGCAAACACCTCCTGGAACACGCTCTGATTTAAATACACCCTCTTCTGGGTGTATTTAAAGCACCAAACCAAAAAAAAAAATCACCAAAAAAAATAACTGGAGCCCCTCTCTGCCCTTCAGCCTGCTGTGTGGGAGTTAAGTTTACTGATTAAAAACAAAGGTGATTAAAGGTTATTTTTCAACCAGAGCGGAAGCAACTCATCCCAGGGGTGGCAGCTGAACCACAGAAGAGGCTGCATTTTGTTTGGAAAAACCAGGAGTAAATATACACTATTTAATCCGGCGTGTGGGCCTTGGAAATAAGAAGCCCATGTAGGGACTGATGGTCTTTCCCTGAAGATCTAACGTGAAGAGAACGGTCCTGAGCCAAGCAGCAAGGAACACAAGGGATGCTCACGTGCTGGCAACCAGCTTAGCAAACCCTGAGATGGAAGAAAAAGGATGGTGTTGACCTCAACAGCAAGACCCAGCAGCAGCAACAATCAGAGATGCAATAAACCCATGGGATTAGATGCAGGTTTCTCGTTACGTTAAATTTATTATTGCCACAGCCTCCTGTGCTCACTGAGAAGTCACGTATTTGCAAGAGGATTCACAGAAATGTAAGGGGCTGTGATCTTTTTTCAGCCTCTGGTGACAGGTTTTGACACTGAAGAACTCTATTAATGATGAGCAGAACTAACACAGAAGGATTATCTTGATTATGTATTCAATCGAGATGCTCTTTCACAGAAGCAATACCAGGAAGTTGCTGGTCATCTCTTTTAATTTCTTATTTTGACTTCGCAGCTGAAAGGACTTCAGAATGTCCCTCCCAAACCACAGCCTTTCTGCTGCCTCCTCCCTCGAGAGTTAAACGTGTAAAACGGGGACAAAAACTGGCAAAGCAGGAGAAATGCTCAGAAAAGCTTTATCGCTCCAAATTCTGTTCCGGAGGAATATAAACCATAATCCAAGTGCTTGTTTCAAACAATGTCATGATGTGCCTCAATGTTTGCAGCTCACCATTTCTTTTTTTTTAACCAAAACACCCCATTTCCTCCAACCCACCCCAAAACTGCCCACTCTGCTCAGGTGCAGGAGTTCTGACCAGCGACACACGCAGCTCAGCGACTTGGTTCTTTGAACAGATTATATTCAGTGATGTGTAATTGGGAGCAAACCACGTATTTTCCAAAAAAAAAAAAGAAAAAAAAGAGACTACAAGAGAAACCAGGTTAAAAAGACCCATCTTGCAAAGAAGATGGACCATCTATTAGCCCTTGGCAAGCTGGACAACACAAAACAGGCTGTACAAAACCAAAAGGAGATGGAAGAGAGAGGTTTAAGGTTTTCTGCCCTTTTATTTTTCTCCTGATCCACCACCTCTTCTCATCTCATTCCGAGAAAGCTCCGAGGCCGCGTCACAACAGCCAGGAATTCATCTCTGGTATGTGCAAAATTCAAACAAGTTTACATAGAGAGAGATAAAACTGCAAAGGTGAAAACAAAACTCAAGGCCAGGATCACAGGTTAAAATCCTCCTTCCGAGTCCAAGAGATTATACAGCGGGGGAGTTATTTGAAAACATATTCCAAACTTTTAAAAGAAGCTAGTCTTTTTTTTGACCGATAAAAAGGTTTATTTGTTGAGGAAAACTACAGGAGGATCCTCTTGGTGAACAGTTGCTTTTTCCTGTCCAGTATGTTGACACACAGAGACCTTCTGCATCTCTTCTTCTCACTCTTCCCCACGGTCACCAGATATTTTTTAGCAAAAACCGTCTTTTCTCTCATCCTGCCTTTGCCAGAAATTTGACACGGAAGCGGTGTCTGTCCCAAAGAGCTCAGAGATGGGGGAGAGGTATTTAAAAAGTCTATAAATAGGACACTGAACGTGTCGGGGATCTACTTCCAGGCTATGTTACAAACAAACTCTGGTGTCCAAGCCACCGTCCTAAATCATACATAGAAAAGTATGTAAAGGACTGCTCGACTCCAGCAAAAGGAGGCATCTTCTTCAGGACTTTGAGAATCACCTCTTCCAAGCAAGTTTCCCTGCTTAAGGAAGACCCAAGATCAACTGCTTTGCCTACAACCCAGAAATGATATTCGCCAAAAGCCCTCTGGATGGGAAGAGAAGAAAGAAAAGGAAGACATTTCTCACAACCCTCAACGCCACAGAACTGGGCTTTTACACATCTGGACTGAAACATTCTGTTTTGTAGGAATTTCTACCTAGACATCACAATGCTGACTCCAGACAAGCAACGGGACAGAATCCAGTCCAAACCCAGGCCAGGACTGGGGTTAGGGAGTCTTGGGGGCTTGGATGGAGGACGACCACGGGCTGAGGGAAGTTCTTGGAAAGCCATCTGTGTCCAAACCAGTGTTTACAGCTGATCTTGGGTCTGCTTTGGAGACGGAGCTGTCGTCACAACCACAGTGGAAACCGCTTTAGTGGAGCCAGACACCGTGCCCTGCTGGAGGTGGGAGGCTGGGACAGTTTGAATTCGAACCTGTTTGAAATGGAAAGAAAAAAAAAAATCTCAACTCACGTCAAGAACAACCTGCTGACACGCTGCACTCTGAAAACGCTGGTAAATTATGTTTCTGCTGCCAATAAAAATTCAGTTTTATGAACAAGATCACACTGAGAGCAGAATCTGTCACAAGACCACTGTCTATGTGGGCTGATGGCAAGAGATCTTCAGATTAGAGAGGAAGAAGTAAGAATTAGCTTGAATAAAAACCTATTCAGCTGCTTTTGCAAGTTTTCAGAAGAACTTGGATCCACTGGGTACTTCACTTCTACAAATATGTTACAAGCAGCTCTCAATAAAGATTAATTATTTGGAATTACAGACCACCAAGTCTCCAGACAGAAAAGCTGGATATGCAAAGCAGCAATGTGATTTCTTCACGAAGTGGGGACGCACAGAAGCCAAAGTACAACAAAAAAAGCCTAATAAAGTACAGAAACAATCCCTCACACAGGTGGCTTCCTGCCAAGATCTTTGGTTTTACATCCCTTACACTCTCAGTGCTTCAAAAACAGATAAAAACTGTATCTGGGTGGAGGAAAGGTAAAGGAGATGACGCACTGCA